AACCAATCTCCCCCCCCCCCCCCCCCCCCCTCTTTTTTTGTTTTCTTGTTACGTAGTTTATTTTCAAAAATAACATGATCATTGAATCATTATCTTGTTAAGCTTGTGTCCTTTCTGTGTATCGTGTTTACTATGAGTTAAACCTAAGGGTATAAGTGAAGATAAAACTCCAATCTAATGTTTACAGTCTTGAAATATTTGTTGCGTTTAGCATGCACTCTATTAGCCATTAAGCTTAGAGCAAGAGAGGGGAGTGAACAGAAAATTCTCATAAGAAAGTGGTGCATTAAAAATCTTTACTTTATTTCTTCTCTGGTTGGACAGTTGGGTTCTATTTTGTCTATATCCTTCAAATGGAAGTGCAATTTTGTTTAGAGCTTCATTCAGTCAATAATATACAATTTTGTTATTACCTACTTAGCTTTATCATTTGTTCTACTAAGCATCACTAAAACTGACAGATCCATTGCTATTTACTAATATTAGGGGTGGTCAATAAAAGAATTTTATTGTGCTTGTGAAAAATTTTCAAATAGCTTCATGAGTAGAGTATTGAAATTCTTGAAGTACTAAGTTAAAGCTTCGTCCATCTCATATTTCACTATTTGCAGGACTTGACAACCTTCGTCTGTGTTTGCATTCCAGAGTTCCTCTCTCTCTATGAAACTGAGCGATTGGTTCAGGAACTTACCAAATTTGAGATTGATACACACAACATTATTATCAACCAAGTACTTTATGATGAAGAAGGTCATGCTTACACTTTTACTTTTCTTTTTTTTTTCTTTACCATTCTCTTCTTCCCTTTTAATGAGTTGCTTTGAAGAGAAGCTAATATTTGGTTCCCTTTTCTGTTGTTATAGATGTTGAGTCCAAATTGCTCAAAGCAAGAATGCGTATGCAACAAAAATACGTTGACCAGTTTTATATGTTGTATGATGATTTCCATATCACCAAGCTGCCATTACTGCCGCAAGAGGTAAAATATATGGTATTATATTTCAGAGTTAAAGGGAGTCGGAACTTAGAAGATATTAATGAATAGTGTACCTATTATTATAAGCATATGTCAGCTAGCTTTGCAAGGTAGAACATTGAAAGTAAATTCATCGAGATAGAAATGGGATTGTCACTAAAACTATTTGTTACTTAAAGTATGTAACATATCTTGCTTTCTATTGTTTCATAACCAATTGAATTGGAGGGAAATATTTAGTTGGCCCTGTCATTGTACATTTTCTATTTTCTCTTTGTACTACTGGTTCGGGCAACAATTTTCCATATTTCAGCTCATTTTGAAGTTGGATTTTCTTCCAAAAAAAAAAAAAAGAAAGCTCATTTTGAAGTTGCTCCCTTTTATCTAAGTTGATTCAAAATTAACTAAAGCTATACTCTTAATTCTGTTTTGACTCTGCAAAGTCATAGAAGTACCAAGTGAAAGTAATCATTTATGTACTTCATATGCTCTCTTCCCGGTGAAGTTGCTAACTTGAAGAGAGAGAAGCTCTCTCCTCTCTCTAGAATTCTGAAGGATGAGTTCACAATCTCATTACTGATTTTATTCATAAATTAGCTGATTAGTTAAGATGTCAAAAGGATTTGAATCGTTTTCTCCATGAGTTTAGAGTAGGTCCAAAGATGTACAAAATCTCACTAAGTAAAGATGGTGGCTCGGTGAGAATAGAGGAGTCCGAGCTCGAGTTTCTTCATTTCTTGCGAGTTAGGTGCAGTGATCTGGATTTGTCAAACAATGGAGTTCTTGTGCAAGAATAACAGGATCGATGGTTTCAAAAAGTAGTTCAACGGGACGCAATATGTTTTGTTGATTGAGGTGCTTACGAATGCAATGGGAGAATACAGGAAGGTCACAAGAATCAATGGAGGAGCCGTTAGACGCATCATTCTACCGGGAGACAGCAAGAAGACAAGATGGAAGATTTTGATGAATAAATTGAACAGGCTAATGGGAAGAGCTAGTTTTTTCAAGGACAATAGAAAGGCCTAAATGGTTCCAGACAATGCTGGTGGCAGCAAAGAAGAGCGAGGTGAGCAGAGTTGGGCATGGAGAAATCAGGCTATGTTACAACGACAAGAGAACATGATTTAACAGCAGACTATGAAGCCATTGTTAGAAGAAATTCAAAGACCGACAACTAAATCTTGGAGACTGGCAATTGTTATTCATAGAAACAAATTGGAGAATGAATGGGATGCTATAAGAAGGGCGCTCGAAAGCAGGGTGAGAAGGAGAGTAGAGGTCATCCCCATGGCGGCAAATAGGGCAATAACACGGTGCCAAAACAAAGAGGTGTTGAAGTTTTTAATGGAGGAGATCAGTCTCTATTTTAATAAGAAGTTCCTAGCATTGATGGACCATTGGTCCATATACTCGCACTGGGATTATATCTAGATCGAAGCTCGTAACAACTGGATTGGGATTGAAGGTCTTCCCCTTAATATGTGGAATTTTCACTCAAAATTATTGGAGACACTTGTGGAGGCTTGCTGGAAATTGCTCAAGAGACACTTGACCAGACTTTTTTGATGTATGCTAAGATCAAAATAAAGGGCTCTGCAACGGGTTTCATGTATCCAATCCTAGAGCTTCCGTGCCAAGGAGAATGAATTCAAATTGGTCTTTTCAACATCAAAAGAAAAGACGAAGACACTTTGGGTTACAAAACAAGAGGGATGCTTTCTTGAATTTCTTCACTTTTCAACGAAGAAGACGATAAGAGCACCAAGAGGAGGACATGGCAATATTTCTCAAGGAAGATTGCCCCAGCAAGGGCTGTGGGCAGATTGTTTGGCGTCCCCATCATTACTTTCTTCCGGCTTTCCTCCCTTCTTACCTCCGAGAAGGCTTCTCTTAGACTAGGCAGAGGCTTTGTGCCCAAAATTATTCCATGGACTTCATCTAGATCCTTCTTAAGTCCCATTAGGAACTTGAACACCTGTTTTTTCTCAATAATCTGCCTATACCGATTTCCATCATTTGGGCTCTCCCAAGTATATTTTTCGAACAAGTCTAACTGTTGCCAATAACGAGTGAGAGTATTATAGTATTGGGTAACAGAAGATTCACCTTGTCGGAGATCATGGAGAATGGATTCCACACCAAATAGTTCAGAGGTGTTTTCATTGCTGGAGTAGGTTTCTTTTGCTGCATCCCAAATCTCTTTGGCAGTACCGTAGAGGAGAAAATTTTCTCCAATGTCATTGATCATGGAGTTGATCAACCAAGACATCACCATGCTGTCCTCAGCCCTCCAGGTTCGGTACTTAGGGTCCTTTTCTCCTGGTGAAGCCGATAGGCCTGTGAGGTGGTCATCCTTCCCTTTTCCTTGAATGAACATGAGAACGGATTGAGACCACTGCAAGTAATTATGCCCGTTCAGCTTGTGACTTGTGATTGGTAAAACCCCACTGCTGTCCGTGCCTCCACTGTTTCCTGCCACTGGATTTTCTTGATTGGAGGTGATTTTGGAGGTGGAGCTTTCTTGGTCTGCTGCCATGCCGTATTTGGCCATAGTGTATGGGACTCTAGAAGAGTTGATTGAAAAAAAAAGGTTCTGGACAGTGTCAGAGGCCTGGCTCTGATACCATAAAGAAGTGAATGAAGAATAGGAATTCTTTTAATTGATTTAGAATGATACAAGAGCTGAATATATATATACAAGAGGAGCATGATCTGCGACCTTATTTTAAGGAATAAAAACCTGATTTCTAGCCTATTTTGATTAAAAGAATATCAAGGAACATATTTCCTGATTTTCTTAATTAAGTAAATAAGGAAAGATTGACAAAAGCGAAGCTAATCTACAGCTGGTCACAGCTATACAATCCGGATTTTCAACAGAAAGAGAGATCATATCTTTCTATGAAAACTTGTTTAAGGAGAACGAGGATAGCTCGTGGAGGTTCGAAGGGATCGAATGGAGTGCTATTTCGGAGGTCAAGGCTCGTTGGCTTTAGCGGCCTTTCGATGAGGAGGAGATATAACTTGCCGTTTTTAGTTTCAACAAAGACAAATCACCAGACCGGATGGTTTCTCGGCAGGTTTTTTCCAAGATTGCTGGGGAATCGTGAAAGGAGATTTATTGAATGCCTTCGGGAAATTTTTTAGAAATGGTGTGATCAGCTCTGCAATCAATCACACCTTCATCTGTCTTATTCCAAAGAAGACTGACTCAAGGAAGTCAAAAGACTATGGGCCAATTAGTCTTGTGACCGGCATATTAACAGGAAAAAAAAAAAAAAAAGAAATTAATCTGGTGACCGGTATCTACAAAATCCTGGCTAAGGTCTTAGCAAACAGGTTGAGGGAGGTCCTAAGTGACACTATCCCAAGGGGCATTTGTGAAGGATAGGTAGATTTAAGATGTGGTGTCTGTGGCTAACGAAGCAGTTGAGGAATACCGGGCAAAGAGGAAGGAGGGGTTGGTGTTTAAAATTAACTTTGAGAAGGCTTATGATCATGTAAGATGGTGTTTCTTAGAGAAAGTTTTGGAAAAGAAGGGCTTTGGTTGGAAATGGAGAAAACGGATCCGGGGATGTCTACATTCAGTTAACTTTTCAATCATAATTAATGGGAGACCATGTGGGAGATTCGGAGCTTCAAAGGGGCTAAGACAAGGCAATCCTTTATCCCCTATTCTGTTTATACTTGTTGCAGATGTGCTTGGGAGATTAATGGATAAAGCACTAGAAGTTAGAGTGGTGGAGGGTTTTAAAATTGAAAGGGAGGAGATATCTGTGTCACACCTTCAGTTTGCAGACGATACACTTTTCTTGTTGGGGGCTGATTTTGACAATGTTAGAAATATCAAAAGCATCCTGAAATTTTTTACATTCTGTTCCGGCTTGAAGATTAACATGGGAAAATCACTTTGGTGGGAATAAACCTCAATGCTAATTTGGTGGAGGAAATGGCTTTGGAGTTGGGTTGTGAGGTGGGAGAATGGCCTATGAAATATTTGGGTCTACCCTTGGGTGGAAATCCTCTACCAATAGAATTTTGATGCCAGTGATCAAGAAGGTGTCAAAGAGATTAGAAGGGTGGAAGAAGTCCTTTCTTTCGAGGGAAGGCTAACCTTAATCCAATATGTCCTTGCAAATATTCCAATTTATTGTATGTCCCTTTTCAAGATGTCTGGGGCGGTAGCTGAAATGTTGGAGAGGGTAATGCGTACATTTCTTTGGGATAATCAGGAGGATGGTGAAGTGAAGAGTTTGGTGGCTTGGGATATTGTTACAAGGAGCAAGCAAAAGGAAGGTTTGGGGATCGGAAATTTGAAGTTGAAGAATGTTGCTCTTTTGGTTGTGGCGATTTCCTTTGGAGCAAGATGCATTATGGGCTAGAGTCATAAGAAGTAAGTATGGGCTGCAGCCTAATGGTTGGGATTTGAACCTATTGACTAGAGGATCCTTTAGAAATCCGTGGAAATTTATCTCTCATGGGCTGAATTCTTGTCTTCAAAATGTCAAATTGCAATTGGGAAATGGGACCAAAATCTTCTTTTGGAAAGATAAATGGTGTGAAAATGAATAGAGTTTTTATTTCTTCGACTTTTTAGACTCTGAATTTCCAAACACTTTCATTTCTGATATTGTATCACTCTCCAGTAACGATGAGTCGAATTGGAACCTTGGTTTTAGGAGAGGCCTCAATGATAGAGAGGTAGAGGCTTTGCATTCTCTACTTCAAATTTTAAATTCTGCTTCTTTTAGATCGTCTTCTATTGATCGTAGAGTGTGGTTGTGTGATCCTTTAAGTTTTTCTTGTCATTCTTTTTTTAACTCTTTAGTGGACAACAGTGATACTCTGGTTTTTGAACCGTTTAATTCCATTTGGAAGTCTTGTGTCCCCCACTGAATTAAAGTTTTTGCTTGGTTGGTCTTTCATGGGAAAATTAGTACATGTGATAGGGTGCAGAAGAGAAATCCCCATTTGGCGCTGTCCCCGTCTTGGTGCATTCAATGTAGGAATAATGAAGAAACCATTGATCATCTATTGTTGCATTGTAGGGTGGCCAGATCACTATAGAACAACTTAAGTTTGGAGGCTGGCTTTAGTTGGGCAATTCCAGCAAAGTGTAGTTCTTTGATGGTTGAAAGAGTTCTCGGCTTCGGTTCTAACAAGAGGGCCAAAGTCTTATGGAATAGTGTGGTGCTATCAATACTATGGGCTCTGTGGATGGAAACGACAACAGAATTTTTGAAGAAAAGGAATTGGAGCCAAGTGATATTTTGAGAAGTCAAAGTTCTCTGCATCGTTATGGGCTTTTAAAGGATTTTCGTTTTCCTTGGTCATTTTGAATTGGAAAGATGTAATTGGAAGTTGATTTGAGACTTTGTTTTTTTTATAATTTTTCTGTTTCTTGGTCAGTTTTGTCACACATGACCGTTGTTATTTCTCTTGGGTTTGAGGATAACTTATCCTCTGCCTTTGTTATTGATCTTTATCGATAAAGTTTTTCTTATCTAAAAATATGCTCTTCCCGGCAAAATTTTTATTTCCTTTTTTCTTTTACGGGGGATGAAGTGGTTTCCTGCTTTTTAATTTGCCTGATTAGTGTCTTAAAATTTTTGAAATCTTCATGTCAGACCAATTAAGAAATCCGAAGCTTGCCTGTTCTGTATGGAGTTTTAAGCTAGTCAGCTTGTTTATTGGATTGATATGGATTTGTAGGTTACTGGAGTTGAAGCACTGGAATCATTTTCAAGTAACTTTGTGACACCCTATCAACCTTCGAAGAGTAGAGGCACAGTGGAAGATCTAGAGAGAAGAATATCTACGCTTAGGCTACAGTTAAAAGAAGCTGAGGCAGAACTTGAAAGATTCAGAAAAGGAAAGCAAAATGTTTGATTACGCAACTCAACCATCATCATCGCATTTCCGGCTTCCTTTTCAATTCTATCCAAATCTCCTATCAAATGGCATCGTCTTCACATACTGGGCTACCAAAAGAAGTTGAATCTTCTAGCTACTGCCCATTATCGATTGTCAGTTCCCTTGAGTTTGTTTTTATATTTATGCATTTTTTATTTGTACCGTAGATCTTATATAAGCCGAATATTTATATTGTAACGTGTTTTACCTTTGATTTTTTCTATGGAAGAGAATCCCGTTTTATTTTTATTTTTTTTTGCTGTGCTGCTTAATGTTGAACTGGTACAGGATTTTCAACCAGAGCAAATTGCCAAGAAATTTTGTTTAGAACGAGGAAAGCAAAAGCTGTTACAAGTTGTGTACTTTTTGGAAATTTACAGGTGCATTTAGATTTGAATTTTGATTGTTTTTGAAAACGTTTCTGCACGATTTTTGAGACACGAAAATGAAAACAGTCTATAAATTGTGTTTGTTTAGTAAATGTTTTGAAAACGAAAACGAAAACAAAAAATGATGAGAATGGTTTTTGTGAAGGAATTAGAAAACGGTTAAAGTTGTTTTTCCTTTTCTACTTTTATTTTTTAGTACTTATCAACAATGTCATAATATATTAATTAATAATTATAACTAAATATGATTTAACTTTTTTATTATATGCACAACAATCTTTTAAAAAATTAACCAAATGTAATTTTAGAATCGGTCTTAAAATTATTATAAAAACAATTTCATTTTTACTTTTGTACTGAAAATAAAATTATTTTGAAAATGTTATCAAAACATGCCTTACATTTGGAAGCATTTATTTTTCTTTCTCCTTGTTCTATTGTAGAACTTTGTTTCGTGAGTTATGAGAGAATGTAGACTTTGTTCAAGAATTTAGTTTATCTGCGACGTGCAATTATGCAATTGCTTTGTAGACCATTTACTTAAACCCAAAAATAGAGAAGTTTTTCTTTTTTCTTTTAAAATATATATATATATATACAGAAGTTTGTGTTACAGTTTAATAAATTCAATTTCGTACTTTCTAGAAACATTCTGTGGACAATGAGGGTGTAGATCTCGACGAGTTGGAGTTTGGTGACGCCACTGCTTTAGTTTCGGACCCCTCGTCGATATGGTTTGGGGGAGGGGCAGTGGGTATTGGAGGTGGAGGCATGGTGGCTTCTGCTTGTGCGAGGAGCCATATTTTTTTGGTAGATTTAATATAGGATTGACGCAACTATTTTTTTTTAAATAGTTATAATTGATGGGAGATGCACAATCAAATCCTTTAAACATCACTCAGGATCAGACTCAAGAATTCACCCCAAACACTACTAGTTTGGGCCCTTATTTCGAGGAGTCCCTTACGAATCTATAGGTGCACCCAACAAACGGGTCCAATCACTTCTTCAAGGTTCAGGCTACGCCATCTCCTAAGTTCAAGTATGCTCCTGCATCAAGATCTGTAGTGTGTGGGCTTCTTTCGGGTTGCTTTCGCTTTCATTTTCATCGACGATAGTAGCAATTCTTTTGCGGTGAATGTTCAGAGCAAGGTTCTTTGGTCTTCGTACTGTGGTGGATTTGGCTGAGGTCATTCATAGTTTTCGTAGTGTTTTGTTTATTTCAATGAAGGCATCCTTGTTTTTGCTATGTTTCTGTGGTATAATAATAGGAGTGGTTTTCACACATTCTGATGTTCTTTGTGTCCCACCTATCTGAGTTAGTTATCGACAATGTATATGTTTTTACACGGCTAGATTTGTCTCTAGTTCACGTCGCTTATGTACCCAGTATTTGGGGTTTGGTCTTAGTTGATTGATTTTCTTTGTAACAAGTTTTGGTCGCGCTTGATTTTGTTTGTGTTAAGCGGGTCTTTCCTTGTTGAGTCTCTGCATTTGTGTTCACTCATGTTCTTCATCCGTCTTTACTGATGGACCAGTCGATATTCAGGGTCGAATGTATTTATAATTGGTGGTCATTTGTGACTATTACGATGTAATTTGTTAAATTTGGAATGAAATTTTTTCTTAAAAAAGTTACACTTGCTGTATGGTTCAAATATCATATTTATTAAGAGCACGTGTCTAAGTAGCAATGCAACATTAGACTATAGGTTATGCTCTTTTTTTTTTTTGACAGACTATAGGTGTGCTTCTCTTTTAAATAATTTAACTTAACCTTGAACTGCATATAATATAGGGTCGAATAATTTAGAGTAAAGAATGGATGAAGTGGTGAAAATTTATGTGGACACAAATTAGAGAAAATTGCAAATATTACCCTTTGAGGTCCATAGTATGGAATTTGGAACACTACCTCTTTCATTTTTGCTGCCATTTTTTTTATGAGTAACTTACATATGGTCAGTCCCTTAACTCTTTAATAGATAGCATTTTGGTCCCTTTTTTTTAGAGAGAAAGAGAAAAATAGGCTAAGACTTGAGATGAATTAAAATTAATAGGCTAATAGTTTACATAAGTTAATAAATAGGCTAAATTACTGTTTTTGTTCATAACTTGTCTGGTTATGAACCATAACTTGACAAGTTATTGTCCATAATTTATAGTTTTTGTCCATAACTTGTATGGCTATGAACCATAACTTGATAAATTTGTCCATAACTTATCTGGTTATGAACCATAACTTGACAAATTATGGCCTATTAATTTCTATAACTAAAAATTGACCTATATATTTTCTTAAGCTTTTCATATTGACTTATTTTCTACTATTTCCGATTCTTTTATTACATATAATTTTCTAAACTTTTTTTATATATTGCCCCCCTAAATTTTTGAAAATTTATTTTTTTGCATGTAGTTTTTCCAAAAAATTTTATATCTGCCCCCTCATTGAGAAGATCTTATATATACCTCGTCATTACCATGCTTTTTGTCTAATTTCCTATTAATTTTTTGTATGTGCTTACTTAAACATTTATTTTCTTTCTAATTCATTTATCCATGTTGAAGTAACTTTTTTCTTTTTCAAATGTGTTCTACTTAAACTTTTTTCTTATACGTTCTTGTAGCTCGCTAATAAGATCTTTATAAATTATATACCTTTTTTTTTTCAAAATTTTCCTATCAAAATAATCTTTATTAAATGTGTCTTTTCTTAAACATGTTTTTTTTTTTTCCTACAACCTTTTCAAATATTATTTTCACTTATGTACCCTTATTTATTTTCAAATTTGTCACATCAAAAAGATTTTTTTAAGTGTTCTACTTTATTTTATTTTATTTTTTAAATAAACTATACACATAAGAGACTAATAAATCATGAAAAAGCTAAACTTTTAAGAAAATTCTATTATCACGTAGCAAAAATTTCAATAATATGAATACTTATGTCCTTCCAACTACGTAATAGGATTAGGAGTTGATGATGTTGGGTTTTAATTGACCATGTGGGCTTATATATTTATTATTGTGTGTTAGAGGCTATCATATTAGGTTGAGCTCATTTAAATTATTTTAGACTTTAATGCATCTAATTAAGTGTGAGTCTTTTATGTGTAGAGAGCAAATCATTATTTCTATTTTTATGATGGGTCAAATTAGAAATAATGAAAGTTAATAGGCAGTTAACTTATATACGGTTATGGTCCTTAAATCACACGTACGTTTTCATTCTATTTTCTGACATCCCATATCAGAAAGAATAGAGAGAATCTAAAGGAAACTCCAAATGACTACGTGTAGATTTGGAAGACTAGCCGCAAGACTTGTGATTTACTTCCATCATGATTGATTCAAGTATGCTTCTGCTTAGATCATAAATTCTTGGTGATATAACATGAACGATCCGATATTTGGTGAAGATTTTCACCCTAAAGCAATTTCTCTAACAAGTGATATCTGAGTCTATTTATGTTGAATCATTGAGAATTGAAATTTTTTGATTTGATTATGGTTTTACGGATACAAGTTTAGATATATATATATATATATACGTAATTGAATTTTGGTTATTCAGTTTTGGTTGAATTTAGGATATTTTTACATATATATATATATATATAATTCCGTTGAATCTCGTTAAAAGGAATATGGGCTGCCGCCGGCACCGTGGGAATCTTGCCACAGTCGCTAGGCTGCACCGGCAAGGGAGAACCGCGGTTGTTAAGCCGTAGCATAAGGAGAAAAGCGGCTGCTGGCCGCCTGGGATTTCTCAAGGTTGCAACTATTGCGACCCTTAGGGTTTGTTGCTCTGGGCCTCAAAGAACAAGGGCCCATCTGGGCCCTGACAAAAAAATAATAATAATAATAGTAGAAAATAGGTCAATATGAAAAGCTCAAGAAAGTATATAGGTAAATTTTTAGTTATAGAAATTAATAGGTCATAACTTGTTAAGTTATAGTTTATAATTAGATAAGTTATGGACAAACTTGTCAAGTTATGATTCATAGTCAGACAAGTTATGGACAAAAACCGTGGTTTATGGACAATAACTTGTCAAGTTATGGTTTATAACTAGACAAATTATGGAAAAAAACAATAATTTAGTCTATTTATTAACTTATGTAAACTATTGATCTATTAATTTTAATTTATCTCAAATCTTAACATATTTTCCTCTTTCTCCAAAAAAAAAAAAAAAAATAAAAATGGAGGGGAAACTTAAGGCAGCCTGCGGGCTGCAGTCAAGGTCACAGGCCCAATTGTGCCTGTGTGTAAAGAAAAGAAAGCCGCAGGTGTAACCTACGGCTATATATATATATATTGAGAAAATGTCATTTTTTTGGGTCAATTTCGGTGTAATTTAAATTCAAACTTTGATACTTAAAATATTTATAATATTCTAAAATGAATTAATGGAAGCAACATGTTGCCAAAGCAACTTCTCTTGTGGAAATTAATTTAATTTAGAATATTAAACGGATGTGTGTGTAATTCATGCGGATATTGGCTGGTCCAAAAGAATGTCAATATTTGGCCAAATTACACACGCACCTGTGATGATAAGCATGTGATGATTATTCGGTTTACATGTGAATAATAAATCGGCTCAAAGGAAGATTTTTTGTTCGAGATATTATTATCAGTGTTTGATTACTACACTAAGAGTACCACTTACAAGTTAATATTTCTGTCCAAAAACTAAATATTGATGTTGTGCTCGGTATCTTGTGATGGGCCCTACCATTATTTGAATTTATTATTTGCATAATATGGTATTTATGTGAGTTTTGTTTTGTTTTGTTTGATTTGTTCTCTATTCAGTTTCTAGTTCTGCTGCAAATATCTCTGCT